AAAAAATTGTATCTCTTCATATGGGGTGGGGGGAGTCAGAAAGCACCACTAAGGACAGTCATTCCAATTTAACCACCCAGTAATTCATATTTACAAACTTGTCATTTCCAATGAATAAAGTTAAGTGAAAAAGTTAGTCAAAGGAGATAAATCTCAAGGAATTGAGAATTCTGTCTAGATTAAAGAACTCTGGTGGTACCACTTAGACACTTGGCTGCTGACTGAAAAGCTGATGTTTCAAATCCCTAAGTCAACAGCAAAAAAAAAGGTGGCAGTCCGCTTTCGTAACAATTATTAGCTTGGAAACCCTCTGGTGCAGTTTTACTAGTCCTTGGAGAGAGGTATCAAGCTGGGAAAGGTGGAGGGTCAGAAAAAGAGAGAAAGACCCTCAGCAAAATGGATAGACTCAGTGACGAGACAATGCATGTGAGCAAGACAGAGGTTATGAGGATTCCTGGTGCAGGAAGGGGGTGAAGTCAGCTCTGTGGTTCAGAGGGTCCCTGGGAGTCATGGTCAATTGGATGGCAACCAACAAAACAACATCAGAGTACTATAAGTTGGAATTGACTCACTTACTATGAGTTTGGTTTTAAGACTTAGATTAGAAAATATACGGAGATCAATAATTTTTAATCTTGGCTATCACCTCACTACAATTGTGCATTAAGGTTTTAGCCTTTCTCTATGTGTATTCAGTATGTATGCTGAGAAACCTTTGAGAAGCTACACTATACAAAGACACCTGGCATCAGGATTGAAGGAAGACTCACCAACAACCTGAATTATGCACATGACACAACCTTACTTGCTGAAATTGAAGACGACTTGAAGCACTTGAAGCTCAAAGACTGCAGCCTGCGTATGGATTACAACTCAACATCAAGAAGACGAAAATTCTCACCTTGGACCAACAGTGGAAGATGGAGAAAGACTGAAGTTGTGAAAGATTTCATTTTACCTGGATCCACAATCACCACCCATGAGAGTAACAGTCAATAACCAAAAGACATGTTGAACTGGGAAAATCCACTGCCAAGGACTTCTCCAAAGTATAAAAAGTCAATGATGTTAGTTTAAAGGCTAAGGTGTGCCTAGCCTAAGCCATCATATTTTCAGTTGCTTCCTATGCTTTTGAAAGTTGGACAATGAGTAAAAATGCAGAAGAATTGATGCTTTTGAACTGTGGTGTTAGAAAATAATACTGGATATACCACAGGCTGCCAAAAGAACAAAAGAAGTTGTCGTAAGTGAAACAGGGTGCCCCTTAGGGAAACAAACTTGTCTCACGTACTCTGGGCATGTTGTCAGGAGGACCTAGTCCTTGAAAAAAAGATATCATGCTTGGAAATGTGGATGGTAAGAGAGAAGAGGACCCTCAACAAGACGGACCGACATAGTGACTGCACCAGTGCGGATGAGCATGGGGAGGTATGGGGCTGGCGTCGGATAGGGCAGGGTTCAGAGCTGCTGTTCATAAGAGTGCTCTGAGTCATAGTCAGCTGGACAGCACATAACAACAACAGCACTACATCCATAAGGAGCCCTAGTGTTGGACTGCTAACCAGAAAGTCGATGGTTCAAATCCACCAGTCATTCTTCCAGAGAAAGATGAGGTGGTCAGCTCTTGTTAGGAATTCAGGGTTAGAGATACGATGGAGGGCCACCGTTAGTAGGAATCTACTTGACGGGCAGACGGTTTAGTGTTCTGTTTTTTATTTTCTCAATAGAAGAAATAGACCAAAAGTAAAAAA